GGCAGTCCATGGTATATTCAATGTTCTTCTCCAACAACACAATTCAAATGCATTAATTTTTCTTCTGTCTTTCTTTTTCACTGTTCAGCTTTCTCATGCACATGAGGCAATTTAAAAGACCATGGCTTGGGTCAGGCACACCTCAGTCATCAGAGTGTCATCTGCAGCTAAACCAGTTCTCAGAGGACAACACACAACTTTAAACCCGAGTATTAGAAAATTAGTGCTGATCGCTAGTAAGCTAAGCCTCCATCTCAGAAAGTTAGAAAAAGAACAACAACAAAAGCAGATAGGAGCACAAATTAAATATATAACAGAAATACAAAAATTAGAAATAAATATACAGAAGAAAAGATTAAGTAGTTGGTTCTTTATAAACACTACTAAAATTGACAATACTAGGGTAAATGGGAGGTAGAAAAAAGAAAGAAGACACAAATAAGCAACGTCAGGAATAAAACAGAAGTCATTACCACTGTATTTGTAGATACAATCAGATAACAAATGAATATAATGAACAGATATGTGGCAATAATTTTTTTTAATTAGAGGAAATGAACAAATTCTTAGAAAAATTACCACCAATAATGATTTTGAAAAAAATTAAAAATAGAAGTCCTACACACGTTAAATAAATTAAATCAGAATTCAAAAATCTTCTTGCAAAGAAGGACCAAATGGTTCACTAGAAAAAATTACTCTATGCAAACTAACTCTAAAAAAATTAAAATATGGTATACTTCTCCAGCTTATGAGATTAGATTTAAACGAAATACCTGAAAAACACAATAGGAAAAACAAGTTATAAGCCTGTGTCATTGATTAATATAGATGCAAAAATCTTTTAAAATATTTTACCGAACTGAGTCATATATATGAGCCCTGGTGGCACAATGGTTAAATGCTTGGCTGCTAACCAAAAGGTCAGCGATTTGAACCCACCAGTTGCTCTGGAGGAGAAAGATGTGGCAGTCTGCTTCCATAAAGATTTACAGCCTTGAAAATCCTATAGGGCAGTTCTACTCTGTAATACAGGGTCACTATGAGTCAGAATCGACTTGAAGGCAGTGGGTTTTTTTGGGTTTATATGTATAATATATATATATATACATATACATATACAGCATGATGAAGTTGGTTTCATACTGGGAAAACAGTTATCATTAGAAAATAAACTAATTTATTTCATCAAATTAACAACTTAGAGGAGGAAAATCATAATGACTAAAACAGAGATAAAATGTTTGAAAAAAATTCACCATCAATTTATGACTAAAAAAACAATAAACAAACAAAAACAACAACCTCAAAGTCTCTGGACGGAGCAAACGGTTAAGTGGTTAAGTGCTGGACTGCTAGCTGAAAGGTTGGTGGTTGGAACCTGCCCAGAGGCATCAGGGAAGACAGGCCTGGCAATCTACTTCCAAAATGTCACAACCTTGGAAACTCTATAGAGCAGTCTACTCTGTACACATGGGGTCACTATGAGTCAGAATTAACTCAATGGCAACTATGAACCAGTCTGTTATTTAGCTAAAAGATGACCTCATGGAATAGTTTTGGTTCAAAGTTTAAAGAGTATATCAGGGCAATAGTCTCAGAGAAACCTCCTGTCTCACCCAGTCCAGTAAGCCTGGACTTTTTAATAATTTGAGTTCTGTTGCACATTTTTCTCCCATTCTATCAGGATCCATCTATTGTCAGAGTGGTAGGTAGTGGTAGCTGGGCACCATCTAGTTCTTCTAGTCTCAGGGTAGATGAGGTTGTGGATCCTGTAGACGAATTGTCCTGTGGACTAGTTTCTTCTCTAAGCCTTTGATTTCCTTCTCTTTTACTCCAGACACACAGAGACCAATAGTTGTATCTTACTTAGTTGGCTGTTCACAAGCTTTTAAGACTCCAGATGCTACTCACCAAACTAGGATGTAGAACATAAACTTTACATACTATATTATGCCAATTGGCCAAGTTGTCCCATGGGAATATAGTCCTAAGCCTTCAGATCTCATAAACCAATCCCAAAAGTTGTTCGGTCAAGTCTGAGAAGTACCGATGTTTATGCCCCCTGTGTGCTTTACGCTTTATTATATATTTGAATCCACCCTTACTTTTGATATGCTGACTACAGTTTCAGGTGTTCCCACTACTACCACCCCGGGTTCCATAATTCACTAGAACAACTCACAGAACTCTGAAAAGCACTATACTTATTTTACAGTTTTAAAAGGATACAAATGAAGAGACGCATAAGGTAAGGTCTGTAAATCATTATAATATTCATTTTAAATTTTCACTTCTTATATCTTTTTTTTTAATTTTTTTTTTTTACTTTTTGCCCTGGCTAAGAGCTCCCTCACAGTGGTGAAGAGAAATGGTCACCATAGGCCTAGTTGTCAGGTTCCTGATGATTTCTGATTGATAAGGGAAAACAGTAAGTATTCTTATCATCATGTATAATGTAATGTTTGGTGTAGGTTTTGTTTCTGTTTTTTGTTTTTTTTTTTGAAGCTGTCCATTAGCAGACTAGAACCATTCTTTCATTTTGCTACTTTTTAAAAATTCATATATTGAGGGTGAACTTTTTAAAACACATTTTCTATGTTTTAGTGATTATGATTTTCCTCCTTTAAGTTGTTGATGTGATGAAATAGATTAGTTTATTATTTTTTTAACAATAACAGTTTTCCCAGTATGAAACCAACTTCAACCCATTTTGTCAGTTTAGTAGTGTTTATAAAAGACCAACCACTTATTTTGTTTATCTTCTCTTCTCTGTATCTATTTCTAATCTTAAATTTGTTTTATATTTAATTTGGACTCCTTTCTGCTTTTGTTGTTGTTTTTGTTGTTATTCTTTCTGTGATTTTTTGATATGGAGACTTAGCGCATTAACAATCAGCACTAAAATTCTAACATTGATGTTTAACGCTGTGTGTTGTCCTCTAAGGACAGGTTTAGCTGCACATTATGCAGTACATGCAGAATTTTCATTTTTATTTAGTTCAGACTATTTTCTAATTTCCATGTTCATATCTGCTTTGAAACAAGGATTAACAGAACTGTCTCTATAATTTCAATTTGATGTCAATTTCTCATTTTTTGTGAGTGAATCTAGATGCTAATTGATCCTCTTGACATCTTATTTGTGAGTACCTTGCTGAAAGTGAAGAGGACTTAAAGCACTTGCTGATGAAGATCAAAGACTAAACGGCCTTCAGTATGGATTACACTTCAACATAAGGAAGACAAAAATCCTCACAACTGCATCAATAAGTGTCTTAGTTATCTAGTGCTGCTATAACAGAAATACCACCAGTAGAATGCTCTAAACAAAGAGAAATTTATTCTTTCACAGTCTAGGAGGCTAGAAGTCCGAATTCAGGGTTCCAGCTCCAGGAGAAGGCTTTCTTTCTCTCTTGGCTCTGGGGGAAGGTCCCTGTCATCCTTCTTCCCTTGGTCTAGGAGCTTCTCACCTCAGGGACCACCGGACCTGGCACTTGTTTCTTGGTGATATGAGGTACCCATGTCTCTTGCTCACCTCTCTTTTATATCTCAAAAGAGATTGGCTTAATACACAACCTAATCTTGTAGGTTGAGTCCTGTGTCATTAACATAACTGCCACTAATCCCACCTCATCAATACTGTAGAAACAGGATTTACAACACATAGGAAAATCATATCAGATGACAAAATGGTGGACAAGCACACAATACTGGGAATCATGGCCTAGCCAAGTTGACAGACATTTTGTGGGGACACAATTCAATCCATGATAACAAGCAATGACCTATTCATTGGAAATACCTAAAAAATAATAGATCTCCCTTATTGGGCACTGAAGGCACCTCTTACAAACATTTCCTTATTTAATGCACAGAACAGCCCAAAGATATGTGTATCCTGGGGTGCAGGGAGGAAGGTTCCCGCAGCACTCAAGGAACTACTAGGATAGACTGAGAAGGAGGAAGCAGTGAGATGTCTGAAGCAACTGAATAAGCCAAGTAGAGACAGGCGCTCCCGTTCCCCGATCTTCCCTACAATCCTAGGCCTTGGGGCTCCCTCTTCCTAGAAGATTCCGAAAAGGCCTTCTCGCGCGGTAAGTAGGCAGCATCTCCCACGCTTTGCACCAGGCACGTCCTATGCCCTTTTTCCTGTGGGTATCTGCCACCTAGCCTAGGGGGGCTGCAAAGAGCCGAGTTGTCTGAGGCGGGAGCCCAGGCATAGAGCGAGAGGAGAGGCAGGACATTTCGGGCAAGAAGGAGGGCTCATCCATACACTTTACTCACGAGCCAGTAAGATCAGAGAGCAGACCCCATTTCCCAGGTAGGGCTACAAGCGGAAGCCGAGAGATCTACACACGAACAAGTCTTTGTGTTCCCACGCGAACACGGGCGATGGCACCACCGAGGAGCGCGCGGCCCCTTCCCTCTTCCCCTGCTCCCCACCTCCGGCCCTACCAAAAGAAAAACCAGGACTCAGACCCCGAGGCCCTACTCGGCCCCAAACTGCCACCCAGCGCCGCCAAGACCAAGTCCGCCGCCAGAGCCCCCTCTTCGCTGCAGGTGGGAGCAGAGTGAGTGTCGTAAGGGGGCGGGAGGCTGGCGAGCGAAGCTGCGGCTTCCGGGCCGCTGGGGTGAGGGGGAGGGTTGGGCGTGGCGCAGGGCCTGGAAAGAGGTTCTGGTCCGGAGAATGGCAGGCAGGAGAGCTATCTATCGTCTGCGTCTGAGTGCGGATGAGACGGGTCCCTAAAGCAGGGGTGGAAGGTGCTGCAGTTAAGAGCAGAAAGTGTGCGGCAGGAGAGAGGAAGGGGAAAAGGAGAAAGAAGAGAGTGAAAGACAGATAATGTTGGCGGTTCTGGTCTGACAATGTCAAAACTTTACATGTCAAGCAGGTACCCAGCAGGAATATGGGTGCGCTTAAAGAAAAACAGGTGCAGAAGGAACTTAGAAGTCGGAATGCAAAAGCTCAAGACAGGTCTGTGGCGAAACGCAGAACGTTAGGAGAAAACGCGGATGCAGTTCCTCACTATCCCAAATTATGCTGTGGAGTTTCCCACCTGCGAGAAAATCGCAGGGGTCAGCACATCCCCAGTGCAATGGATGAGCGTCGCCCTTGGAAAACCACCTTCTTGATCATTGCGTCTTTTCTGCCAGTTAAGTACGACCGGCGCTCCAGCTGGCACAACGCATTCTCCTACCTCTTCACTGTACACTCACAGTCGCCATCCTCCCCTCTATCCGCTCGCTGCCACTTTTGCCGTCCACTCTCCACGAAATCATTCAAGTCACAGCTACCAACCGGAAGCCACAGCCCAGCCAACCATATCCTGGAAGCAGAGAGTCCAGACCAGCAGCTACTGTGTCCTCTCATCTACATACTCCCCAGGCTGCCTCTGCACGCTCAGCAACTCCATCTCCCTGGCTGTCGCTCTCCTCTTAGGTTACAATGGCCACAAGACAGATCTGAGCTCCTCTTGAGAGTATTGAATGAAAAAGAGAAAATGCATGCGGTGCCTCGAAGAGTGTACAGGGACTAAAGATCATCATAGCAGTGGTAGAGTTGTGGTGCTTTGCTGTGGTTCCATCGTTTTGATACGAAAGTGTTTCTTTTTACACCTACCTTCTGCCTATGGCACTGTTAAGTTTTCCATTATGCATACGTAGCATCTGCCTTTCTTGGATCACTAAACATCACCTTCCAGAACCAACTCATCTGCATACGGGTTAGACCTCTATGACCTCACTCAATCCTCAGTTTCCTCCCACCATAGTTTTTGTTTCCTCCAGTCACCTCTTCCAAAACCTACTAAGCAGTTGCTTCATCTTGGCCACACCTCACAACGGACCTAGAGACACCTTTGCATAGAGGAAGTCTGTGGAGAGATGGTTGAGGGAACCAGGGTGGTGGATGAGCTTGCCAGCAGGAGGAAGGACAGATGATGCCCAGGATAAGAGGGGGTTGAGCAACAAGAACCAGGTATCTCCAACATCAAAAAAGGACTCATACCGATGCAAGAATGGAGATAGCCTGGACAGGAAACTCTTTCAAGCATGGAGTTCTGGGCTGGACGTTCCTGCTAAGACCTGCTGCACCTGTAATTTTCCCATCTTAGTTGGTGGCAACTCCATCCTTCTGTATACTAAGGCAAGACACTTAAGAGTTTTCTTTGATTGCAGAGTTTTCCTTCAACACCAAATCCAATTAGTCAGGAATTCATGTTTTCTAGTTACTCAAGCATGAGCATTGATCTACAACAGGGTTTCTCAACCTCAGTACCATTGATATTTTGCATCTATATAATTCTTTCTTGTGTGTGTAGGGGGATCTCCTGTGTACTACAGGATGTTTAGCAACATCCTTGGCCTCTGTTAACCAGATGTCAGTAGAAACCCCCACCCCCTGCCCCAGTGGTGATGATCAAAAGTCTCACAAATCAGTATGTATTAGATGCACTGAAACCACCAATATGGTAGCTGCGACCACACAAGCTTTGCTGAAGAAGACAGTTGATGAAAAAGGTATGGACAACCCACATGCCCCCAGGCATTCCTTTTCCAGAGTTTCCTCTTCCAAACCTCCAGAGCTAAGGTTTGCTATGGCCTCCTCCCAATGCTGCTTAACCATAAGCATTAAAAATAATCCCCTGACCTGAAGATTTCCCTGCTGGAGTGTAAAACAAACAAGAGTGAGAAAACTGATTTTCTTGTACGTGTTGCTCTCCACTTATGACTCATCCTTGTCCTTAATTTTACCAAGACCAGCAGAGTATAGGGTCTACCTTCCAGGAAGGCTCCAGCCCCTCTGCGTAGCTCCTGTCCTTGAAAATTCCTCCCCACAAGCCTCCCTCTTCTCTGGGCCCCAAAATCATCCCCGCCAAATGGGTACGCAAGCCAAGCAGCTGAAGGGAAGGAACAAATCTTCCTAGTCTTAGGCTCACAAAACTAGAGAGGAATGGTTACTTAGAAAGTAAGGAGGTGTGTAGGGAATGACTTTCTCCCTGCCTGTCTGTGCCTCTCTTTAAAAGCTCAGCTTCTATGTCACTAAATCCCATTGCACAGGAATGCTGTGGATCAACACAAACCAGCAAAGACCAATCATCTTGATTTTACTATGTTCTATCAGAGAACACAACCACAGGACAACCACAGGCCAATGGCTTTGGTCAATCCAAGCAGCTCTCTCAATCAGTGTCCCATAGAAACTGCTCCTGAACATAAACAATAGCATCAGTTTACAAATCATCCCAAAATAAGTGGACACTACATGTATTCAAGGAGATATACATAAACCTTAGGGGTCCAGGGAATTATGAGGCTAGTGGGTAATAATCAACTAGCATGAGATATTTCAATGACTTTGACAAGTTGTGGAGCTAGAATGAAATTCTTAAGTGACAAGTGCAAAATATTTATATGGTGATTAAAAAACAAAAAAACTCACACACCAGAGGACGGTGAGATTAGGACGTAGAGATGTGAAACTTGACTTCAAGTTTAATGAAAAGCCAGCATGCTTCCCCAGTGAGGGAAAAGAAGCCAGCATAACATTTAAACGCAGTAAGAAGAATATTATAAGATAGGCAGGGCAACAATATTATAACTTATTCACAAACTGAGAAGAATATTATGCTCAGGATTTTCTTCTTATAATATTAAAATGATATGGGGGGAAAAAACTGGAGAAAAAACAAAGAACACCAAGATCATAAGTTTTAAGTTTTCCGTGAAGAGGAAAAAAATGACTTCATGACATTCTTTAAGAAAATGAAAGAATTTGAGGGGAAATATGGAATCCTTGATGTTTTCTACACACTTGCAAGAATAAACAATGAAAAGTATGCTTGAATTTAAGAAAGAGATAGGCCTTTTGTATTCAGCAATAGGGTACACATATACCAAGAGTGATGCTAAAGGGTGGTTCCCATCGGTGTGACCTTCAGAGGAGACCAGGCAGCCTTGCGTATCAGCATGACCCAGGCAACTGGAAGGGAGGGGCTTCTAAGATTCCATAACACCACCACCCCCTGACCACTGCACCTTCCAATTCTGCTATTGTGACTCCAGATAGTTACCAGGTGCTCTGGGTCCTCCATCTGACACTTCTGTTGAAGCCTGAGGTAGAGGCAGTGCCTTAGGCTCTGAGCTCTGGCATCTTGTTCCTTGTTTTGACAATTCAGGACTCTCAAGGGTTGTGGGATGCTAACAAAGTTTTTCCCAAAAGTAGGTTATGAACCAGATATGCATCCTTTAGACTGGTTAAATCACTTTTTTACTTTAAAAAAAAAAAAAAAAACTTTCTTGGGGTATAATTTACAAACTATAAAATTTACTCATTTTAACTGTATAATTCAATGATTTTTAGTAAGTTTATCAAGATATGCAACCATCAGCATAGTCCATTAATTTTTCTTTGTTATTTGTCTGGTTTTCTTCTCCGTGGGCTCTGGGTTCACTCCTTCCACCATAAGCTTCAGCATGGAAATGTCTCTCACCACTTACTCTGGGCGGAAGGCAGAGAAAGGAATATCCTGGAAATTAACCAGGAGTTGCACTCCCAGCTAGCACAAAGCAAACAGCAGTTTAGAGACCTCAAAGAGAAATTCCTCATATCTAAAGCTACTGCCTCCTCCCTGGTCAACCAGCTGCAGAAATACAGTAAGTCCTACAGGGTCAAGGTCACCAAAGTTATAAGATTGTCTGCTCTCTGAGAAACTAAATGCTCTCCAGAAACTAAATGCTCTTCTTTCCCTTTCATCAAAATAAATTTTATCCTGACCATACTCCTAGAAAGGTAGAAGTGGATATTTTATCCTTAATCTGCAAAGGATGAAAAAACTGAGTCATAAAGGAGTAAAGAAACTTTCCCAAGTTTGCAGTGGGAGTGTTGGGAGGAATAGACGCTAAAATTCTAGTTCAGGCACAAAACTGCCTTTTCTCACTTAGGAACTTGTTTCAGATTCTACAAACATATAACATCATTATTGACATAAGTATCTCAGAATTCAATTCAAACTTTTACTGAACATTCATTTGCAAAAGTATTTTGTCAGCTGCACTGGGGAGAAACAGGTATTAGTACACCATACCTGCCTCAAAAGAGCTTAACACTATCTATTCCCAAGCTAGCCTTGGGTATCTAGAGATGACAATATCAATAGCAAACACAAAGGGAAGTCCAGATGTCGGCAGCAAGATTCTTTTCCTATAAAGTTCAAGGAAGCCAATTCTCATATTCTGGTGAAGGTATTTCCAGAAAACTCAGAGAATCTCTAACACTCTTTCTGTCTCTCCCTGAATATGAATTTTGCAGACAGCAAGCAAGTCCAGGTGGACCTCCAGCATCTGGGCTGTGAGACACATGACCAAAATGAGAAGAAGGCCAAGCGGAAGAGACCACTAGTCCCAGCAGGCTTTCACATTTGGAAATCCACTGGGCAATCCCAAACCTGTTAGTAATGGGGGAAAGGGTATAGTGACTAAAGGGAACAGGGGAACAAGAGGGACAGGGATATTAGAGGAAGATTCTTGCTGACATTGAAGTTGTTGGCTTTCCAATTCATACAATTATTTTTCAATAAATCAGTGGGGGATAAAATTTGTTATATAACTTACTGTCATAAACAAAAGGTAAAAATGAAGCCTATTTTTAAAGAAGTGAAAACATAAGCTTTGAGGGGTGGGAAAACTAAGCTTTCTTTTTTAAAAAAAAAAAAATTATTCATTATAATCCTGATAAAAATGTAGGACAAAATTTTTGAAGCCAGAGAAGAAGAAAGATATGACCTAAGATTTTAGGGTATATGTAATACAGTTCAGTGATTAAGAGCTCAAATCCAAGTTGTTTATTTTCTCTGTGCCTCAGTTTGTTCATTTGTAATGATAATAAGGGTAGTACCTACCTCTTCAGGTAGCAGGTATAATTATATTAGTTAATTCTTGAAAATCTACTAGAACGGTGCCTGGCACATGAGAAACACACCCTCCTACCGGTTGTAACTTAACATCTGATAGCTTCTAGAGATAAGTCAGGTATTTTTTTCCCATTGCATTTTTACATAGTTTTAGCCAGATAAATTTTAAATCTTTGAAATACTATGGGATTATTGAAACTATCCACACAGAACCATCAGCTCTATAATCCTTGGGGCCTTCCCAAGCTTAC